CATTTTTTGTTACTCATATAAATCTTGATTGCCTTAAAACTTTGTTTACTCAAATGGTTGGCGAAAGAGTTAATCAAAGCTTCACAGAAGAATAAAAAATGCTTGCTTGGAGTGATATAATTTTAAATGTGATATAACTTTAAATTAATATAGCTCTATATGCTTTCATCATGAAAATTTTTCCTTAAACATTATGAAACTACACAAAGGTATTATTGTGAAATAAAATTCATGAAAGAGTTAATCAAAGCTTCACAGAAGAAGAACAAAAAAAACGTTTGTTTGGAGATGTGATATAACTTTAAATGACTATAGTTCTATATGCTTTCATCCTGAAAATGTTCCTTACACATTATGAAACTACACAAAGGTATTGTTGTGATCAAAATAAAGTTCATAAAACATTTAGTAAGTAATCTAAGTAAGAAATTTTACAATTTTAATTTTTTAAAAGTTAAAAACTTAGTTAATTTTTTAGTTAATGCTTTATGTTAATGACAAAAAATATTTGTGATGGACACATTTAACAAGTTTTATGTTTATACATAGTTTTATATTTTTGATAAAAATTATAATAATTTTATAGGCTGGTTTTCTTTTTTTTTTTTTAGAATCGCTTCGGTCAATCAATAAAGAAACCACTTTAAGAATGTAGTTATGCCCGGTAAAAAACTCTGTAGAACTTGTCATAAGAAAGATGAAACTATTTAAAACAATAGAATCAATGATGAAAGCAATACATCATACATTGAATTCCAGAACCAACTGGTGAAAAATTCAGGATGTTGGGTTGTTCTCTGTTAAAGTCAGTGTCTATTCAAGATAGACCCAGTTATAGAAAAAAAGTTAAAGGATTTCAAATTATTTGAGAATTTCTAACAATGAAATTTCTATTAGTTGCTCAACAAACAATGAATATTTGAAAAAATCAACAGACCAAGATTTATTATATTAAGCCATTAAGCAAAAAATTGCTAAATCAAACAGAAATAAACAAATAAACCTATTAACACTAACACCAAATAGTTGGACAATCCAACAAACAACAGAATACTTTTCTGTACCAAAGTCAATGGTTAAAAATGTGTAAACTAAAGGTGTATAAAGGTATTTTGTCTTAAAGGTTTTTGTCTTGGGAAAGTGTAAAAAAAATACTATAAATAAGATATCACAAGCACTAAAAACAAATACCAATAATTTTTATCTGTGTGACGAATATTCTCGGGTATGTCATGGTAAGAAAAAATTTGTTTCAGTTAAAACTGATGGTCAAAAACAACATATCTAAAAGCAATTATTAATTGTAAATCTAAAAGAGCTTTTAGAACTTTTTTTATATTTGTAAATCTAAAAGAACATTTAGAATTTCTAAAAACAGGATTTTTAATGTTTTGTTAGCTTTGTCCAAAATGGTGTGTAAAAGTAGTGCATCTGGTCTGTATTTAGTTTGTGTCTGTCAAGTACACCAAAATTCAAAGTTAACTAAAAGTTACGCTCACAACATTTTATTTCAAAGACACAGTCCTTACTCTTTGGAATTCAAAAAGAAAATCTTCAGCAAAACCAAACTATTATTTTTCTTGATTTTGAAGAAAATTATATTTTTATAGCACAAGAAACAGTCCAAAGATTTCATTGGAATAATTGCTTAGCAACACTACACCCACTCATTGTATACTACAAAGATTTTGAAAATAAACTCAAACCAATAAAGCATAATATCTGAATGTATGAAACATGATGCTAATGCTGTTAATGCATTTTTAACTAGAGTTTTAGAAGATGTAAAAATTGTCTTGCCAAACTTGACCTTATGTTATTACTTTAGTGATGTAGCAGCTAGCCAATACAAAAACTATAAAACTCTTTGAAATCTATGTCTTCATTTTCAAAACCATGGAATATGTGCAGAGTGGTGTTTTTGCTACAAGCCACGGTAAATGTCCATGTGGTGGCATTGGTGGGATGCCATCACATGGACATTTGATGTAAACCATAAACTGACTTGTAGCAAGGATTATTATCTGTCACTGAAATGTTTAAATGGTGTACTTAAAATATAACAGATATTTAATTCATTAGTATTTCTAAAACTAATATAACAGATCATATAGAAATTGCTAAGCTTGATGACCGCTACTCTAATTATAAAAAGACGTTCACATCACTATACCACGTAATGATGGGGAGCTAGAAATGAGACGTATATCAGGTGGTACATGTTTTACCACAGTTAATGCAATTTATAATAAAGAAAGCCGGACTTCAGACTGCATAGGCGATTTGTACGCTGGAATATATCTTGCATGTGTCTATGATAATGAATGGTACATTGGAATTGTACAAGAATTCGTAGATGATTCAGATGTTTGTATAAAATTCATGCGACAAAATAGAGTTAACTTTAAATGGCCCTGCTACAAAATAGAGTTAATTTAAATGTCAATTAGCAAGAAGCTATTAAATTTCTAAGCAAGAAGTTGAAAAAATACCATTAAGTTTTAACATTATTTTGACAACAAGATTTATTATTTGTTATTTTATTTTTTACATTATTTTATTGTAATTGAAATTTATTTCTTGGCTTTTTTTTTTAGTTTCAAATTTATTCATATATTGGAAAAATATAAGCCTTTATGTGCAGATATCTTTATTTAAAAATTTATTTTTAAATTCCTTGTTTAAGAAAGATTAAACAAATTTTTACATTAAATTGTTCATTTGTTTTAAAGATATTGACTGTATAACAAATTCAAAATGGCCGATTCTGAATTCCAGAAACCTATTATGATATAAAATTTAAGTTCAGATATCTCAGCAACTATAAGACATCCCAAAAGTACTTTTTTTGCATTTCTTCTTCTTGTATTGAAGATACATTCCTAAAAGTTTAGTTGTTTGAAGTGTTAAATTTACTGGACACCCGTTTAATTTTCAGTTCTTAAATAGACCTAATTTTACCATTTTAAGGCTAGAGGCTTTTTTAGGGGGGGGGGGGGTCTAACTTCTATAATTTAAAATCTAGTGTTGAAAAACTTATCAGAAATGATGACTACCACCTATATTCGTGCAAAATAACATAAATTTCACATTTGCTTGTGTATTTCCCTTTCATTTGCTTTATTGATATTCAAATTTTTTCTTTAAAGTGTTTTTTTTTTAAACTTTGAAGTCCAAGATGGCCAAAAATAATTATTTTTGTAAAATAAATTTTAATTTCTCTGAAAGTTGAGGTAGACTTATAGATCATCCAGGTCATATTTTAAAAATCCAGAAAATTGTTTAGATAAAATATCCAATATATATCCCTTATTTTTGCTTTTACCTAAATTGTTTTTAACTTTTTTTTCAAACTTTTCTTTATTTTTCAACGAGTGATGAGTGAAAAAGCTTAAAATACAAATATATTACAAAAATTTATACCTAAACTTGTATGTATAGAAAATATTTTGGATATCCGGAAAAACTAAAGGTTGAAAAAAAGATCCAGAACTCCAAAAATATCCAGAAAAGGATAATTATCTGTACCTAATGTAGATTACTGCCATCAGATTGATTTTTATGTATTTAAGATAATTGTTTTTTTATTTATATCGATTTGAAAATGAGACATTTTTGAAAAAGGCAATAAACTGCTTGAAATAGGCTAAGACATTTTTCAAATTACCTTAATTTTAGAATACTTCAATAAATGAGTTGAAATTTTAGGGAAATTTTAATTACTTTATCTACATTTAGATCAAACATTCCTTTTGCTAGTTTTTTTTTTAGTTACTTTATTAAGAAAAATGTTTGTCTTTCTTTGTTTAATATTTATATAAAAAGTTTTTTAACTTTTATTTCTATGCCGTTTTTATTTTAAGTATTTTATCTAGAAATTTTATCTGTTGTTATTATTTCATCTAGCATTTAATCAAAGCATTATTTTTGCTGTTTTTATTTTAATTTGAATAGAAGATATGAATTTTCAAAATCGTGCACGCCAACATTAAAATGACTGTTTGGCCAGCACTTTATTGTGCGATGGCATTAAATTTCAAACGGAGAAGACTGATATTTATATATAAAATTGAGTAGCCTTCTCAACTAAAGTGGCCCTCTGACCCTACTTTTATAAATAAATAAAAACCATTTATCTTCGACTTGTAGTTACACCTGTTTAAGACACTTTATTTTATAAAATTTAATTTTATGTTTAGGTCAAAACTTTCTTTTTAGCAGTAAAAATACTCTAGGTTTCAAATAGTAATTACAATTTTTACATGCTATGGTATGGCCTCACAAGCTAAATCTGTGGAAAAAAAAAAAAAAAAAAAAGAATATTTATGCAATTTAATAATTGCTGAGGTATGACTGAAATAAACAAATACTTAATAAATTTACCTGAAATACAATCCCATGCTCGTCCAGATGGAATAAGAGGAGCAATAACTAAAAAATATTTAAACATTAATGGTGTTCAAAAAACTAAAAAATATTTAAATATTAATGGTGTTCTAAAACTAAAAAATATTCAAATATTAATGGTGTTCTAAAACTAAAAAATATTTAAATATTAATGGTGTTTTAAAACTAAAAAATATTTAAATATTAATGGTGTTCTAAAACTAAAAAATATTTAAATATTAATGGTGTTCTAAAAACTAAAAAATATTTAAATATTAATGGTGTTCTAAAACTAAAAAATATTTAAATATTAATGGTGTTCTAAAACTAAAAAATATTTAAATATTAATGGTGTTCTAAAACTAAAAAATATTTAAATATTAATGGTGTTCTAAAAACTAAAAAATATTTAAATATTAATGGTGTTCAAAAAACTAAAAAATATTTAAATATTAATGGTGTTCTAAAACTAAAAAATATTTAAATATTAATGGTGTTCTAAAAACTAAAAAATATTTAAATATTAATGGTGTTCAAAAAACTAAAAAATATTTAAATATTAATGGTGTTCTAAAACTAAAAAATATTTAAATATTAATGGTGTTCTAAAACTAAAAAATATTTAAATATTAATGGTGTTCTAAATCTATAAAATATTTAAATATTAATGGTGTTCTAAAACTAAATAATATTTAAATATTAATGGTGTTCTAAAACTAAAAAATATTTAAATATTAATGGTGTTCTAAAACTAAAAAATATTTAAATATTAATGGTGTTCAAAAAACTAAAAAATATTTAAATATTAATGGTGTTCTAAAACTAAAAAATATTTAAATATTAATGGTGTTCTAAAACTAAAAAATATTTAAATATTAATGGTGTTCTAAAACTAAAAAATATTTAAATATTAATGGTGTTCTAAAACTAAAAAATATTTAAATATTAATGGTGTTCTAAAAACTAAAAAATATTTAAATATTAATGGTGTTCTAAAACTAAAAAATATTTAAACGTTAATGGTGTTCAAAGGTAATAGTTATTGAATAAATAGAAAAAAGATACAGTTATAATCTTATTTAATCATAATGTTTAAGTTAATAATGTAATGAGAAGTTTGTTCATTAAGTGATGGATTCCATTTAAAGTGGAGCACTTCTTTCACCTTTAATTTAAGTTTGGTTGGAGCAGTATCCAAAACTTCAAAAGAATCACGATTAGACGGATTTTTGCAATTAATTGATGTATTTATATGTCTATATACATGAGTTTATCAGTTTTAAGGTTTTTATATATCCTAATTGTCAAATGTCAGGAGGTTTCTCCAATATAATTGGCATTACAGTTAGCAAGAAAAAAATATTTTGTATACAAATATTGTCTACAAGTAGCTAAGCTAAAAGGATCTTTAATAAATATTTATATTTTCAATATATTTATAAATATTATATTTTTTATTATATTAGTAGTAAACATTAATTTTCTCAGAACATCTTTGCATTTTTTATGAACAACTTTTTTATTTTTATTTTCGTATATTTAAAATTATGGAAGTTAATGGAAGAGTGTTAAAGAGCTACACATTAAATGGTAAAATCCCTCACTTAATAAACAAACCTTTTATCATGTTATTATCAATTCAATCAAACTGAAAGTTTACTTTATTTTGATTTTGGCAATATTGATTATTTATTAACCAAATCATTTTTCAATTTTTGCTTAAATAAAGGGATAAATATATATGCATATATCAGGGGCAGAACCAAAATGTTTTGATGTTGAAGATAGCTAACTTCCAGACACGGGACAAACCCCACAAATTTATGTGTGTATACTTATGCCAAATAAAGATGATATGCAAAAACTTGTGATGATTGGAGTCTGGAAAAAAGAAAGCCCTAAAATTTTGACCACAACTGCCCCAAACAAGAGAGCAACCAGTTGATGAAATATTTTTCGTATTATTCTTGAATAAATTAATTTTCACCAATAAATTCTAGGCTCCTCAAAACATTCCATAAGCATTAAAATCCAAATTTGTGAACCCCCAAAAATCGTCGCATAAAATTCAGAGCTTATCAATGAATATAAATTTATTTATAATCCAAAAAATATTTTATCAACTTGTTACTGCCTTGTTTGAGGCAGTTGTAGCCAAAATTTTAGGGCTTTCTTTTTCCAAGACTAATTATTGCAATTTTTTGTAAATAATCCCTATTTAACACAAGTATAAACATGCAAATTTATTTGCTCCATGTCTGTTAACTATCATAAAAAACTATCATAAAGTTAATTATCATAAAAAAACGCCAGATCCGTGTATATATATATATATATATATATATATATATATATATATATATATATATATATATATATATATATATATATATATATATATATATATATATACAGGCTTGGTCGGGAAGCGGGAGCGATTGCTCTCGAATACTGACCATGGAAATTATATTTAGTTGCAAAAAACTGGCCAGGTTTTTCAGTCGTTTTGAGAACATTTAAGTTTATTTACGAAACAAAAAAATTTTGTTTTACGGATATACATGGAAACATAAAAAACTTGAATGTTCTCAAAACATCGTAGTGCAATAGAATAAAAAGAATATTCGCGAACACTAAAAACCTGCCAAATTAACGAACAAACTAATTCTATTGGTTCAAAAAATACGCTGACTAAGCGAAATAAAGTTTTAGAGCATTCTGTTGAAATATTTTAAAAATTATATTATTCACGATTTGTTACGTTTTCAGATTTCTAGCATAAATCGTTTTAAGAATATATATTAACTGTTTACAAAAATAAATGTTTTAAATATATATTAATTAAATTGTCAAAATTGTCAAAAAGTTTATTATAAATTATAGATTTTATTAGTACATTCTTATTTTTTATTTAAAAAATATGTATTCTTTATGTAAATGTAATTTTGTTGATCTGTTTTTTATCATAATGTATCTTTTAAAGCAATTTTTATGATTTAAACAAAGACTTACAAAAATAATTGCGTTTTCAATAAAATTATAATCGTTAAAGTTAATAAAACTAATCATGTAACAAACATATAAGAAGTTTCTGGTTACTAAACACAAACAACGCATACAAAGTAACTCGCGGATGAACAAGCACCGCGCCTGAGGTCACTACAGAACACAAATATATATAGCAAATAATTAGATATAAAGAAAAGTTTCTAGATATTGGTTTACTAACTCTAATTATTTTCGCTTCAGTTGCCATTCTTAAAAATTCGTTACACTTTTTTCTGCTTTAATTACTAATTAAAAAGCACACTCACTAAACATCATCATATTGTGATAGCAGTTTCGCTTCCTCATCATATTTTTAATCTTTTTAGTTGATTTCTATCTTGTTAATTTAATTTCTATAGTAATTCAATGATTTAATTATTTCATTTGTTAATCTTACTAAGAAGAATTGCTTCAAATATGTTAAACTTTTCAAACTACGCAAAACATAAAATAGGTATTGCAAAAATTAACTTTTTTATTTATAAAATAAATTAGCTTAAATAAAATTAAAACTTGCAAACTTGTTTAATAAAGAATATGTTTCCTTTTTAATCAATCGTAATATTTTACTTTACATAAAAAACATCGCTTAGTTTTATAAAAAAAATTATAAAAGCGATGTTTCAAAAATATTTGTTCTAAACGTAATTTATTTAGCTTAAAGTTTTTTCGCGTTTAAAGATATTTCATTTGCTTAACTTTTATTTAGTAATTGTCTCTCATTGGTCCAATTAATCTTACTGCTTTTTTTTAATTTAGCGCTTTTTTTTTTTTGCTTGTTAAAATGTTCTCAAAACAACTAAAAAATCTGGCCAGCTTTTCGCAACTAAATATTATTTATGTGGTCAGCAATCGAGAGCGATCGCTCCCGCTTCCTGACCAAGCCTGTATATATATATATATATATATATATATATATATATATATATATATATATATATACATATATATATATATATATATATATATATATATATATATATATATATATATATATATATATATATATATATATATATATATATATATATATATATATATATATATATATATATATATATATATATATATATATATATATATACACACACACATACCAAGGAGATATATATAAAACTATCTTTGATACTGAATAATTTGAGTATGTGTGAACATAACTGGTAATTGAGTGTGTGTACATGTATGCACATGTGCATATATATATATATTATATATATATATATATATATATATATATATATACATACATACATATATATCTGTCGTTAATATGATTATTAAAAATATAATTATTAATAAAATTTTATCAATAATACTGACATGCAGTTGCATTTTTCCCAGTAAATGCTTTGTAAAGATCAGGATTTTCAAATTCTAAGGCATCAATGAAATGTTTGATTCCAGATGATCCTTTACGTCGAATTATATCAATAAAGCAACTAACTTTTTGTTGTCTTGTTACAGCACTATTCAAAATCTGTTCACAATCTTCTTCATCCAAGACCTTCTTGCTTATCAAGTAACTTAAAACAAATTAAATTTAGTACATTATTAAATGCAAGCAAGTAAAACTGAAATAACAATGATAAATTTGTTATATTTTTTTATTAAAAATAAAAATTGGAGTTCGGAAAAAAATTAAACAAGTTAATAACATTATATTTTGCATTGCAAATACATGGTTTCCTATTATTCAAACTATAAGTTCTATTAAATACCCCAAATGCTAAGTGTTTTTTGTTTAAGATATATATATATATATATATATATATATATATATATATATATATATATATATATATATATATATATATATATATATATATATATACATATATATATTACATTTCGTGTGAGGTATATATCTTATACTGCTGAGTTAGGTGATCATGATGACATCATACTGAAATAGCCTACTATATATATATATATATATATATATATATATATATATATATATATATATATATATATATATATATATATATATATATATATATATATATATATATATATATATATATATATATATACATATATATATATATATATATATATATATATATATATATATTTTATATATATATATATATATATATATATATATATATATATATATATATATATATATATATATATATATATATATATACTATGAATGCGTGGTTAGATAACATCTCTGTCATCACCATGAAATAGCCTGTTGCTGGGAGCTTTAGCACATACACTGTCTTACAGACTGTTGCCACAAAAAAGTGCAGCTATAGCGACTAAGTGTTCAGCATAGGTTTCCAAACTTTTGTTTCATTATTTTTTTCTTGTTTTTCTGAAAAAGCTGTATTGAATGGTAGGAAAGACTAATAACAAATTGTTATTTGTATATGTTTAAGTAAATAGGTGATATTAAAGAAATAAAAAAATTACAGATAAAAACAATTTTATTCCTAAACCAGTGCACTATAAAATATATCATGCACAACATTGTTTTACTTGGTTCTAAGTATAGTAATAGACATATCTGAAACCTGGTTGAACTTTTCCTGCATCACTGCTTTACCTATTGAATGGAAAAATTAAACTATAAAAGAAGCACAGTATGATTTGTCTTTTATGTTATCATGGAAAATAAAACTACAAAAAAAAAAAAACATTTAAACTTGAAATATGAAAGTTAATATGAGTGGTTTATTTTTTTTTTATTACTGTGTTTATTTCACTTTTTAGTACCAATACGATTTACATATCTAAATAGCCTATATACAAAAACAGGCCTAGGGCACATAGGCCTGATTGTGTTTGAGTACATGTGTGTACCCTAGAGCACATGGGCCTATTTGTGTGTGTTTACAATAGACAAATAGGTCACATGGACCTATTTTTCTATTGTGTGTGTATTTGTTTGTGTATAAATGGCTTTCAATACATTTAAAACCGCTTTTTTTGTGTCAGTCAAGTCATATTAAGCATTGTTTATACCTAATGTCATTAGGTATAAACAATACTTGATCTAGCTATACTTTATTAGTAATGAGTATAAACAATTTTCTTAAACCTTCAATTTAATATTGTGTGACGTTATATATTAAAGCAATCCCAAGACTATAAACTTTAAACTTTATATATATATAATGCAGTACATTCAAACACCAATAAACATAAACAGATAAAACAAACAATAAAAAATTTATTTAAAAGTTTTAAATAAATTTTTTATTGTTTGTTTTATCTGTTTATGTTTATTGGAGTTTGAATGTACTGCATTATATATATATATATATATATATATATATATATATATATATATATATATATATATATATATATATATATATATATATATATATATATATATATACATATATATATATATATTTATATTATATATATATATATATATATATATATATATATATATATATATATATATATATATATATATATATATATATATATATATATATATATATATATATATATATATATAAAGTTTAAAGTGTTTTAATGCGTTTTAATAAAACGCATGATTAATTTAAAACGGATGTTTTTTTTGAAAGAGGGTTAAATCTACAATCTAGAATCCCAACTCGTTAAAGCGCCTAGTCTTTGAATAAACTTGAATAGGCTCACCTATATTGGTAGGTTATTTTTATTATTATTATTTTTATTATTCTTTATTTTTTTAATGTTTTTTCCTTTTTTTAAAGAAAATCTTTTTACTAAGGTGTTCTAAAAGTTCTGACGGTTTTGTAACTGTGCAACGCGGCACTAAGCGTCGCCCTGCCAACAATTCAACTAAGATGGTAAATAAACACGTTATGTTGTTGTAAATAAACATGTTATAATCGTTTTTTAGGTCTAATAATTTCAGTTTGTTAATAAATGTATTCAAGTTAAAATTTAAAATCTTTAAGCCAAAACAAAGTATTTATTATTACTCTATTGGAAATTTTTATAACATTATTTTTAAGAGGATGTTGATACCTAGAAAAAAAATTGTATTTTAAATTGAGATTCAGAGTTTTTATTATTTGAGCAACCGTGGCGCAGTGGTTAGAGTTCTGGCTCAGAACCAGCCCAATAAGCAACATTGGTAAAAAAAAAAGGAGACGTAAACTTTTTGGTTAAATGCTTCTCCGCTGGGCTCTGTGATAAGACCGATATGTCTTCTTGAAGTCTTAGTAAAATAAAAAAAAAAAACTAAAATACTTATTATTTAAATTACAATAATTTTAATAACTTCGAATGGGAAAGGTATTTCTTCAAGATATGTTTAATACTTTGAACCTGACTAATCTAGATTGTAGTTCATAATAGTAGTTAACTTCGATAATTTATTTCGATATAATTTTTTTTTACCTGAAATTTTTTTCCAACTTTGACTAAACTCAAAATTGTAGTTATCAAATTAAAATTAGAATAAAAATTAATAAAAAAACAATTTCTTGCATTTAAATGATTTTAAATCTCTCAAAATAATAATTAATAATAATTTACATAGGGTAGATTAGGGTAATATGAGCACCTTAAGCGAAAATTAGAATATTTTCAAAAATAAATATGTTGGATCTAAAATTTTTGCGAATAAACAATTTTTAAGGATCCCTACTCATGATCCATTTAGATATTTGGGTATCCGACATTTTTTCTTAAAAACACAGAAGTTTTAAAAAATTAGCAAAAGTGCTCGTATTACCCAGACCCCTTGGTAATATGAGCACTTTAAATTAGCTCAAAAAAATAGCATTAATTAAGTAAAAAAAGACCAACCTGATTAAAAGAACTAATTTTTGGAATATAAGGAATCGTGATTAACAAAACTTATCATTAGAAGATCAAATTTTAAGCTACATTTTGTTGAAACAATATTTATATGTTTTCCGCAACAACAAAAAATTAATTCGTTATTTTTTCAATTTTATTAACTCAAGCCTTTGAACGATAAAAATTCAAGTTTTTTAAATTTAAGTTCAGAAAAATATTTAGTATTGTTAAAATATTAAAATTTTTTACTTATTCAAGAAGCAATTAAAAACCACTGCTATTTTAGGACTTTAAACTTAGTAATTTCAATGAAAAACACTGGGTAATTTAAGCATGCTCATATTACACAAAAATGGCATCTTTAAATAAAGTCAAAAATAAATGTTTCTATGCATTATTTTTTAAACCAAAATGAATTAGATTTTTTGCTAATATATTTTTCTTTATGAAAAAATTAATTTCATTATTTTAGCACCAAAATTTTGCGCCACAGAGTTATTCACGTGTGATGATATTATTTTAACAAAGCAAAAAATTTAAAAGCGTTTTAATTAGATGATGTCCGCTAATTATTGCATATAAATTTACGCTAATTGTACTTATTCCTGTTATCACCACATAAAGTTGATTCGAAAAACACAAAGCAACTTTAACTTCACATCTAATAAATCTTCAACTATGCTCATATTACCAAGGTGCCCATATTACCCTAATCTACCCTATAATTGCTAAATAATTAGCAGTTTGACTATTCGTTTAACGAATATTTAAACGAATAGTACTATTTGTTAAACGAATAATACTATTATTTTGATTATTCGTTAAACGAATAAGTACTCGTTTTAACAAATTCTTTAAACGAATAAGTATTATTTCGTTAAACGAATTGTACCATTTGTTGATATGTATGAATAGTACAATTCGTTTAAGAATAGTACAATATGTTAAACGAGTAGTACAATTCGTTAAACGAAGAGTACATTTTGTTAAACAAAAGTACTGGGCTAGGGTTAGTGTTGTAAAAACTGGTCAAACTAGATTTTAGAAATTTATACTGGATCTTAGCGAATAGTGGAACGAATAGTATGTTGTATTTATTGACTAAAGTTTTATGAGGAACTAATATTTGTCAAACGAATAATATTATTTGGTTCTTATAAAACTTTACAAGAACCAAATGTTATTATAATTCTTTCTAGACATTAATAATACTTAAAACAAAAATAATTCCATTTGTATATTATATCTGCACAAAGGAGTTTTTATAAGAAAGCTCGTAAAATCCATAGATCTAAACATAAAATTCAAAACGAAATAAATCAACAAAGAGTATAGAAAAGTGTATACATAATATAAACCAATCTGAAGCAGATTGGTCAAATAGCGTCAAACAACTTTCCTCTATTTTACGCCCGTTCTGAACTAGTTTTCGTTGAAAAATTTAAGTATCATTTAATTGAAAAAAAAAAGTTATTACTTTTTAAAAAACTATTATAATTTAAAAAGAAAACTTTACTATTATTATAATACTAATTGTTAAACTTCGTTTAACAAATAGTATTTATTTATCGCATTGTTTTCGTTTAACGAATCAAAGAAATGTTAGTGTGAATTAAAATATATTGTCAAAACATAGGTTTTATGAAAATTTGATATAAGAATCATGACAACAACAATTCCCAATTACCTCGATGGCAAATTGTTTTCATTAAAAAAAGAACACAAGTAAATTTGTTATATGAACAGTAAAAAAAATGCAATTTTAACCTTTTTTAGAAAAAAACAACAAGTTCGTGCCAGACAAAAATAAAAAAGCAATAATGAAAATACTTGCTTCAAAAGATTCAAATATATATTTGATTTCAGCAATATAAACAAAAAATGTCGTTATGATACAAAATCGCAGAGGATCATTTAAAGGTGAGTATTGTAACAATTGAATGTTGGCTGTGTTTCACCAATAGATTACATCCGGAAATCGCTTAGAGGATTGGTTGTACTAATACTCCTGCTCAAGCTCATTTTCTTTTCATTAACAATATTTGAAACTATTTCCCATTAAAAAGGCCCACAATACACAATAATATTGAGTATAAATTCATCTATATTTTAGAACAATTAAGTTGTTGTCTGAAAGTCTTACGACCAACTTTTATGTTTGAAAAATTTACTTAACAAAATAAAAAGTTCTAGTGTTTTTTTTAACTAAACTTATTCCATTTGCTTCGTTAGCCACGAAATGGAATATTAAAAATTATTCCAAAAATATAGAAACACTTAAATGAGAAAAAATGACAAAAAACAAACAAACAAAAAAAGCAATAATAACAAGAAACTATTTTTTCGAGTTCTAATTAAGTTAAAAAAATATGAAATATTTGTAACACAAATATTGTTGTACAAATTATTATCATCAAAAAAATCAGACAAAGAATTTTTGATTTTACAAATTCTACATGATTTTAATTAAATCAAGAACTTCTCACTTTTGAACTTCTAAATTCAGTTATTAGACAAAACAAATAGATATCAACTTTGCTTTAATAATTTCAAAAACTCTAAAGTTTTAAAACAAAACATTACCTAAAAATAAATTGTCTGTGAATATCTAAATTCGTCGTAATCTCAACACGAAGGTTATCTAGTAACTCTTTATAGTTTTCCATCGTTTTTTCATTTTCAGTAGCCGAACTTGTCTCATTTAGGTTTTTGGTCATTTTAATGTTAATTTTTGTTGGTTCGCATCATGAAAAATTTACGCAGCTCAAACAAACGAATGCTATTTGACTGACTTTAATGATTTATTTTAAAATGTTAATCCTGCAACATAAAAGCTTGTTAAGTATTTATTTAAATTGATCTGCGATTTCGATTTCGATTTCTGTCGTTATTAAAAAAACGCATTAATTCGTGAAGAGCCTAAATCATATAAGGCGTTTGTCTATTTATAAATAAAGTAAAGTTTTCAAATTATATAAAAACTATACAAATAACCATTAAAAAGCTGTGTTAGTTAAAAAAAAAAACATCCGAAAACGAAACACCATTTATAACGAAATACCGCACGTAACATTGATAGTAGATGATTATCAAAAGTATTTTTATTCGTGAAAATACGATCTAACACAAACTATATAACAAAAAATATTTGTTATTGAATTATATTTTTTATGAACCTTTTCTTAAGTGTTCTAAAACTTCGTTTAACTCGATAATCACGTTGAGCAATTTTGATTTGTGTTCTCTATGAGCTTCGCGTTAAGCAGAGTTTACTGTAACTATAATCTTATCAAATACATTTGTGCAAACAATTAAAAAAAAAAAAATTTTTTTCAAGAATAAAATGCTAAAAAATCTTCCTTTAAGCTACCGAAATTCATAATTTATATGTGTAATTAAAATTGTTGTTTTATGCTCATCAAAAATGATCGGTGAAGACGATAACGGCAATTTTCTTGCAACTCTAGAGCTACTTGCAAAGTACAACAAGACCCTTCAGTTACATCTAGAAGAAGTTTCTCGCTGCCAACAAGAAGGTAAACAAATTGTTGCTCATTATTTGGGTTGGAATCTTTAAAATGAATTTATAAAAGAATGCAGAAGAATTGTCCATGGTGCCATCATTAAAGAAGCGCATATGAAATTTACTATTCCATTCTTGTCAAAGGAACGCCTGACGTCTCTTATACAGAGCAAATTGCATTTTTTCTCCGCTTTGTCTACTATAGTATTGATAAAAGATAGATAGTTAAGAAGCCCTTTCTTAGGGTCAAAAAAATTGAAAAAAAAAGAGAGGTGTATATATTAAATAATTATGAATGTCTTGAATCAAAATGACATCGATCTGAAGAACTGTCAGGGTCACGGATACGAAAACGGTGGCAACATGTCTGCTGTTGACAAAGAAATACTTAAACTTTCTACATGTCATGCAGCACTCATAACTTTAATCTAGCTGGTGTTCATTCCCTTAAATATTTTATAGAAATGAAGAACTATTTTGGCCGATTCCAGTTACTCTATAATCTTTTTATTGAAAGCCCTATACGATGGATAATCTTGACCGAGACGACTGGTTTGTCTCTTCTTCTCTAATATATATATATGTATATATATATATATATATATATATATATATATATATATATATATATATATATATATATATATATATATATATATATATATATATATATATATATATATATATATATACATATATATATATATATATGTGTGTGTGTGTGTGTGTGTGTGTGTGTTTAGGTTCCACAAGTCCAAACTACAGCTTAAAAACTCTAGCGTGTCTACTGTTTTGGGTGCCAAAGAAGCACGCCGCTAGTTGAGCACATGCTGAGCAGTCAAAAAAGTGTATTCTGATAACACTAAATTACAGACTGGCGCATGTTCTTGCGTCCTAAAGTAGCATAATTATATCTCTATCTTCCAATTTTTGAAAGATATTTGCCCGAGAGACAAGTTAATAAACAATTTGAATAAGTTTTTATTTACCCAGGAAAAAAAAGTTCTATAGAATTTTCTTTAAACTTTTGAAACATATGGCCTATAGAAACTTTATAGAATTTCTATAGAATGTCTATTAATTTTTATAGAAATTGCTATAAATTTTTTTTTCTATAAAAATAAAAGTTGAAAAAAAATTTCAATAGGATTTTTTCAGAAGTTAACAAAAACTATATTAATTACTATAATAATTCTAAAGAAATTCTATAGAACTCTATAGAATTTCTATAGGCCATATGTTTCAAAAGTTTATATAAAGTTCTATAGCACTTTTTTTACTGGGTAAATAAAGGAAAACATTGTTCGCATAAGTCGTAATTATTGAGGAATAATAAGTAATCTGAATCTCCAAACATTATACTGAATGTTTTTAGAAACTCTGTTGGTGATAAAAAAATTGCAGCGATTGAAATTTTTAACGAAAAAATCTTTAAGGTCTTCTTTGAAACGCCAAGTTTATATCGTTAAGTTGCTATATTACAGTTAATGGTTTTAAAGTTTAAAAATAAATGAAATGAATTTTAATTTTATCAAATGAAGGGTAACCGTCATTAAAAAGATAATAAATTGCATCTTCATAGTATTAAATGTATTTGAAACCGCATTAAAAAATTTTATCATTGTTCTTTGTAATTGATCGTTTAGGAGCCTTTTAGAAGCCATGCAGGTTATTAGAGATATTTTGAAATTTTAAGAACCATCAGAAATTCGTGATGAATTTAGAAACTCTTAAAAAATAATGAAGAACTGCAAAAACAACAAGTAGTTTTATTTTTGATATTTCCATAGAAATAAGTCTTAACTCATGGTTATTTACAATTTATGACATGATAGGACAAATACAATTGTAGTTTCCGTATCAATGGATGTTAACAAAGTTGTAGTAGCTCTTTTAACCAGTTTAAATTTTGATTGTCTTATCACTAAGGAACTTAATACGTCACTAATGGAGTTAGTGCTATGATAAGTAAATGTGCATGTGTGCGTGTGTGTGTGTATGTGTGTGTGTGCGTGTGTGGTTGTCAAGTTGCTACAAAAAGTTTGTTGCAACTTAATCAAAACTTGTTGAAAATTCTTTACAATGTCTGTTAATTTCTTTAGAAATTTCTATAGAACTAATTTTTCTACTTAGTTTTCTATAAAAAAAAATTTATAGCAATTTTTATAGAAATTAATAGACATTCAATAGAAATTCTTTAGAAATGCTATAGAATTTCTATAGGCCATATGTTTTAAAAGTTTATAAAAATTCTATAGAACTTTTTTTCCTGGGTTGCTGCTGTTGCACGACTTTTAAAAGTATAATTGATAAAATTTTAAATTATTTTATAGCAAATTTTATAGCAAATAAAAAAAACAGACAGTTTATAATCAAAGTTGAAAGTTTTAAGATAATTTTATAAGCAATGTATACTTACTTTACACATTAATACATATTCTTTAATAAAATATAATAACAAATTAATAAAATATAATTTATCAAATATAATAAAAAATTAAAATTAAAAAGAATTTAGATTTCATAACATAGCAAAAATTTAAAATTCAAAGTACGATAATTCAGAGCCAACGACAACGGATACACCAAAAGGGGCACTGTCCCCTACTTTTTTTCTAATAGACTTTTTTTTTTTTTCAAAAATGTCTCTAGTCATAGAGAACTTTTTTAGATATTGACGATTGTCACCCTCCACTTCGATACCTGTGTCTATTTTTTATTTATTTTTTTTTTCTTGCAGTTAAAATAAAGCATAAATTATTATAGTGATTATAATTATTAAAATGTTCGTTAAAATTTCTTTCATCAATTTACTTTTTTATAAAATTAAGTATTTTTGTCCACAATTCAATTATTTTTTCGCACATAATGCCCTATGCGTTAACGAAACAGATTGTGCGTCATTATGTATTGAAGTTTTTAATGAAAGCCACAAAAAAAACATAATCCTTAATGCTATTTATAAAATACAATTTACTACTTTAAAAAGTTCAAAACTCATTTAAACCATTCTAAACTAAAGTCAATAAAAAGTTGAAGCATGATTACGTTGTCGGAATAATATTAATTGCATATTTCAAGGTTTAATGCAATAATATTTTACATATATGTAATATATTTTAAATATATGTAAACACTTATAAAATTAGTAAAACATTATTGCATATATATGCAATAATTGTTTAACTAATTTCACATTCTAATATCTAGTTCAATGTCTTTCCGTTTTTCTTTATGCTGTTTTTCTAACTCGGCTACTTATGACTTTTACTCTTATTTGCTTCTGTTCTTCCTTAAACTCGCTTACTCTTGGTCCGTCGAAGCGGGTTATGATGTTTTCTAGTGAGCTGAACTTGTCTCAATGGACCTTGGTATGTGACCTTTAAACGGCAATTAGTCGGAGGAAGAAAAACCAATTTATTTTTATACCAATTTATTTTTACATGACGTAGCAAAGTAAAGGATATGCAAATCATTACTCTGGAAATCAGACCCGACAACATCGGGATGGCCAGGGAGTACTGATCTCCACACTTTTTTTCTAAAAGGTTTTTTTCTTTTTTTTCTATTTTTAGGTATATAGGATTTTTTCTACGAACGAAGCACGTTTGCTACGCAACAAAGTAACATTGGTTATACTACCCGCTTAAAATTCTTATATTATAAGAATACATCTTGCATTTACTTACCAGATTCAATTCACTCTGCACACTTCCTAATATGAAGTTAATCACCTTGCACATTTTTAAATTTAAAATTAAATACCTCGTTTGTTTTCTGTCGCCATTACATCTTTTATATATTCTGTATTTACTAGTCACTTGCGTACATACAACAATCAAGTCGCTAGAATATTCAAGACACCCAAGTTAAAGGTAATTTCTTTTCCAGATTTTTTCTAATAAACAAACACGCCATATATACTCTAGGGAACTCATCTCTTAGTATCCCTGAGCTATAGGCTATATCCTTCTTTACATTGATTGCTAGTTTATAACACCTCACTGTTGATTATTTTGTTTTATTAAGCATAATTTCTATACACAAAATACAAGTTTAAAACACCTCTTAATTTAAGAGTTTGTTTTAATGATATCATATCTATCTAGTGTGTAAAATATTACAAACTATATGCATTTAGGCAAACTTTAAGTGTTTCTAATTAACCATATACCACTATATTTCACTTTATGTGTTATAATTTTAAATTAATTTTAAGATCACCTATTGCGCTAATTTTTTCTTAACTTTTTTCTAAAAGATATATAAGTGTTTACATAAT